CTTATGACAGATGTTTGGCCCAGCTTCTTCTCCAATTAATATAGCGCCGAGTTTTAAAACCTTTCCGCTTGGTTTCTGTATATTTTTGAAAATGCTTCTGCTGACCAAATACACTGAGTTTCAAGTCGAAGATTTTACATGATCAGTTGTTCTATAATATTGTCTATAGTGGCCTCCGAACATATACCCCTCGCAAAGGTAGGAACGCTCTTAGGTACGCCGGCAACTTGGTAAGTATATATGTATTTCATGTGCATATATGTACATATATAATTGTGATTCGTTATCTACACTTTTGCGGTGTAAGCTTAGAAAGCAGCTTTACATAATATTTTATTAAGATTCTTGCTAGTTGATTACGGATCATCGTTGAGCTGAGTATGGCTTCCATTACCGGTCTTCTCAGCATAATCTATTTGGTGCTTATTCCTGTCAGTTGTTCTAATGATCCAGAGAATATAATATCGCCTGATGTTCGAGTGAATTTATCTGGTCAAGGTGTAGTGATCGGCAATACCAACACTACATCATGGACTGGTCAAACTTATATGCAATTCCGTGGAATACCCTATGCAGAGTCACCAAGTGGAGAACTTAGATTTAAGGTATATAGTATAAAGTAGCATAGTTATTATAGAGAAGAAGTGATAAACTCAGGTCTACCATAAGTTTTCTTCTGCAGAAGCGATTCTCTAGTTTAGTGATTAATACTTTTTTTAAATCTTTTTTAACGATTTAGCCACCGGTACCTCGGAAACCATGGTCAACGCCACTTCAAGCCAACGACTACGGCCGCATTTGCCCACAATTGTTTGCATACAACCGTTTGCCACCTGATAAACTGAAGGGTGATCTAGAAGACTGTCTCACTTTAAACATCTTTACTAAAAAGGTATGTGTGGTATAAATACATGATTTTTGAATTAACTTCAATATTCTGTTATTCGCCAGTTAAATGCCAAGCAACCGGTGATGTTCCACATGCATGGCGGTAGGTTACAAGATGGTTTTGCTAGCGACTACCGGGCCGATTACTTGCTCGAAAAGGATATTGTGCTTGTAGTGACTCAATATCGTCTAGGTATACTTGGATTTTCTGGCACAAAATCACCGGATATGTCTGGTAATTTCGGTTTAATGGATACAATGTTGGCACTTCACTGGGTGCAGGATCATATTGCCGCATTTGGTGGTGACAACTCAAAAGTTACTGTTTTCGGTGAGAGCTCAGGCGGTAAATTAGGCGGCGCATTACTGATCAGTCCTAAAACACCACCGTCGTCTTTCCATCGCCTCATTACACAATCGGGTTCAATTGTAGATGAGCGATCTACAAATATGGAGCCACTCGCTCAAGTGACACGTGTTTGTCGCGCTTTGAAGTGTGAGGATTGCGAACGTATTGATCGCGCCCAACAGTGCTTGAAACGCGCGCCCGTTATGGACATACTTAAGGCGGCGGAAAGCGTAAGTATATCCTCTTAACCAACATTTCGCTCCACTTTGTTCACAAAAAAATTTTATATTTTTATTATTAAGGAACGATATGGTTTGATTATCGGCGATCATTATGGGACAATGCCAGTGCACCCGGTCATACTTATTGAGCAAACAAATAAGAATGTGCCCATAATGGCTGGCTTTACTAAACACGATGGCTCGATTGCATTAGGCTGTTAGTATTGGCTTTTGTCTTTTAGCTCGTATACCATATGTATTTATTATTTATATTTTTTTCTCGAGTTAGTCTTTTACGATGATTTCAAAGTGTCTCATCCCAATCTGAACACTGTCACTGTGGGAGATTTCGCTACTGGCTTGATGCATCGGAAGAACGATACAACCGCCTTGATTAATAATAATGTTATGACGCGCTTATTATTCCCAGCGAATCTATGGCACAGTTCCGATCATAGACGCGCTCTACCCGCCTACTTCGATGTAAGTTCAATTTTATTGTAATAAAATTTTAAGCGATCACTTAACAAATATATACATACATACTTTTTCCAATAGCTCGCCAACATACTTTATTTTAAATCTGCTACGGTTGGCTTCACGAACAAATTATTCGAAAAAGCCGTACACCCGCCCATCTACTTCTACACCTTTGACTATGCCGGTGAGAAGACGAAATTCGGTTTGGATATGGGCAACGCACAGTATCCCTTTAACGGCGGGGTACATCATAGTGATGAGCTGATTTATCTATTCGCAATGAAGCCACCGTTGAATGCGAAGGATACTGAGGTTGCAAAGAAGATGGTGGACCTTTGGGTGTCCTTTGCTATGACTGGCGTGCCGCAGGTGCCTGATGGACCGCTGATTTCGCCTATGAACTGTGTGTGAATGTACACTTTTTAATTGTGAAATGTAGATTTAACATATATTTGTATTTTATTCAAGCTAAACGTGGTCCTTACTTCCATATCGATAAAGAAATAAAAGTGGACGATGATATTTTGAAGGAATTCACCGCAACCATTGATGATCCGAATAATAAAAATCTAGATCGCCCCAGTAAAATCTGGTAGAGGCCACGTACGAGTCTTAAAAGCTTAACTGTTATATTGTACATATATTTTTGTAGCTTCCTATTCAAACAAATAAATCTTTTTTATTTCTTTTATTATTAATTTCATATCAATAAATATGATTGCTTATAATGGTATAAAAATATAAGCCAAAAGGCTAACATGGAGCTGAAATATCAAAGCAAGTCTCTGAGCATAATTTTTATTGCATGCTCAGCTCTGTTCACGCGCCACTGTTCAAATTTCTCCTACCGAGCTAGCTGTGGTGAAACCCGCTCATCGCATTCTGTTAGGTTTTGAAAATTCACACGCTTGTCCGTAGTTGGACCTACCTTATAATATACGTTCTCTGCTAATGCCTATGATTTTTCCTAGAAATAGTAAATAAACAAAGTTTCGTGGGATCAGAGATTTGTAACCATTCAAGTACATTTCCATTATTACTATAACATTTGATAGGAAATAAGACTGTCCCTTTTCGTGTCTCATATATTTAGTATACGATTCCGATTTTTGTTACATTAGCGTAAAAAAAGGGAATAGAGGCGGAGATAATTCCGAGTCCACTCCGTTTAGATATACCCGAAGAGGTAGGAACAATTGCACGGAACTATTATCCAGAATGTCTGTACTTTGAGAAATGGTTCAGGTATTAACTTTATTGCACAGCTTACTAATTATGTTATTACATAATAGAGCGTCTCATTTATGCGAATGCTCTGGTTTTTACTGTTCTTTTTAATATTCTCACAATTATTGAAAAATGTTTATTGGTTTGCTTTCTTATGCTAATCAAGTCTGCCACTATTGGGTAAGCTTTACCTAGCAATAATACCCATATACCAATATTCCAAGTAAAGCTGTACATACTTATGTATACATGTATGTATGTACGCATGTATGTATGTATGCATGTATGTATGTATGCACGTTCATCCGCATTTAATGACAAA